TGACTGGTGTGAGATGGTATCTCATTGTGGTTTTGATTTGCATTTCTCTGATGGCCAGTGATGATGAGCATTTTTTATGAATGTCTTCTTTTGAGAAATGTCTGTTCATATCCTTTGCCCACTTTTTGATGGGGTTGTTTGTTTTTTTCTTGTAAATTTGATTGAGTTCTTTATAGGTTCTGGATATTAGCCCTTTGTCAGATAGCTTCAAAGAGAGTAAAATACCTAGGAATCCAACTTACAAGGGATGTAAAGGACCTCTTCAAGGAGAACTACAAACCACTGTTTAGTGAAATAAAAGAGGACACAAACAAATGGAAGAACATACCATGCTCATAGATAGGAAGAATCAATATTGTGAAAATGGCCATACTGCCCAAGGTAATTTATAGATTCAATGCCATCCACATTAAGCTACAATGACTTTCTTCACAGAATTGGAAAAAACTCCTTTAAAGTTCATATGGAACCAAAAAAGACCCCACATTGCCAAGACAATCCTAAGTCAAAAGAACAAAGCTGGCGGCATCACACTACCTGACTTCAAACTATACTACAAGGCTACAGTAACCAAAACAGCATGGTACTGGTACCAAAACAGAGATATAGACCAATGGAACAGAACAGAGCCCTCAGAAATAATACCACACATCTACAACCATCTGGTCTTTGACAAACCTAACAAAAACAAGAAATGCGGAAAGGATTCCCTATTTAATAAATGGTGCTGGGAAAATTGGCTAACCATAAGTAGAAAGCTGAAACTGGATCCTTTCCTTACTCCTTATATGAAAATTAATTCAAAATGGATTAGAAACTTAAATGTTAGACCTAAAACCATAAAAACCCTAGAAGAAAACCTAGGTAATACCATTCAGGACATAGGCATGGGCAAGGACTTCACGTCTAAAACATCAAAAGCAATGGCAACAAAAGCTAAAATTTACAAATGGGATCTAATGAAAGTAAAGAGCTTCTGCACAGCAAAAGAAACTACCATCAGAGTGAACAGGCAACCTACAGAGTGGGAGAAAAATTTTGCAATCTACTCATCTGACAAAGGGCAAGCTATTCTCTTGCCTCTGCCTCCCGAGTAGCTGGGACTACAGGCACCTGTTACCATGCCTGGCTAGTTTTTTTTTGTTTTGCATTTTTTTTTTTTTTTTTTTAGTAGAGATGGGGTTTCACTGTGTTAGCCAGTATGGTCTCAATCTCCTGACCTTGTGATCCACCCGCCTCAGCCTCCCAAAGTGCTGGGATTACAGGTGTGAGCCACTGCACCCAGCCACATCACATTTATTTATCCATTCTCTGGGAGATGAATATTTGGCTTGTTTTCACTTTTTTGGCTATTATGAATAATGCTGTAATGAACTTCATATACTAGTTTCTATATTAACATATGTTTCCAGTTTTCCTGAGTCTATACCTAGGAGTAGAATTACTAGGTAAGATGGTAACTCTGTGTTTAACTTTTAGGAGAACTACTGAACTATTTTCCACAGAGGCCACACAATTTATCTTTCTACTAGTAATGTAAGAAGGTTCCCATTTCTCTATATCCTGGGAATACTTATTATTTTCCACTTTTTGTTTGTGTTTGGTTCTTATAATCATCCTAGTTGGTGTGAAGTGGTATTTCACTGTGATTTGATTTTCATTCATCCTGAGGCTGAATGATGTTGAGCACCTTTTCATATGCTTTTTGGCCATTTGTCTTTCTTTGGAGAAATGTCTCTTTAAATCCTTTGCCTATTTTTAAATTGAATTATTTGTTTTTTTGTGTGTTTGTTTTGAGTAGTAAGAGTTGTTTATATATTCTGGATACTAGACCTTTACTAGATACATGATTTGCAAATACTTTCTCCTATTCTGTGGGTTGTCTTTCACTTTCTTGATAGCGTTTTTGATACACAAAATGTTTTAAGTTTGATGAGGTCCAATTTATCTATTTTTATTTGATTGCTTGCACTTTTGTTGTCACATGTAAGAAACCATTGCCTAATTCAAAGTCACAAAGATTTATCCCTATGTTTTCTTCTAAAAGTTTTATAGCTTTAGCTCTTATATTTGGGTCTTTGGTCCACATTGAGTTCATCATAGTATATCGTATAAGTTGGGGGTCCAACCTCACTCTTTTGCATGTGAATATCTAGTTGTACCACCACAATTTGGTGGAAAGACTATTCTTTCCTCACTGAATGGTCTTGGTTCCCTTGTCAAAAAGTAATTGACTATAGATGTATGGGTTTATTTTTGAACTCTCAATTCTATTCCATTGATCTATATGTCTATACCTATCCTAGTACCATATTGTTTTGATTTCTGTAGCTTTACAGTAAGTTTTAAGATCAGGAGGTGTAAGTCTTTGAATTATTCTTTTTTGAGATTGTTCTGACTATTCTGAGTCATTTACATTTTCATATGGATTTCAGAATCAACTCGTAGTTTCTTTAAGAAAGAAAGAGGGATTTTGATAGAGATTGGGTTGAATCTGAACATCAATTTAGGGAGTATTGTCATGTTAATGATATGAAGTCTTTCAATCAATTTATATAAGATATCCTTCCATTTACTTAGGTCTCAATTTCTTTCCATTTTTTTTGTAGTTTTAGTACACAAGTCTTATACTTCTTTATTTATTTTGTTAAATTTATTCTTAAGTATCTTATTCCATTTTAAACTATTTTAAGTGGAATCACTTTCTTAATTTTATTTTGGGATTGTTCATAGTTCATGGCTAAAAATACAAATGGTTTTTGCATTTTGGTCTGAAATCTTCCTTCCTGCTGAACTCATTTATTATTACAATAGGTTTTTTGTGGATTCCTTAAGATTTTCTATATACAACATTATGTCTTCTATGAATAGAGACAGGTTTACTTCTTTCCTATCTGGATGTCCTGGGGTGTTTTTCTCCCTACCTAATAGCTCTGGCTAGACCCTCCAATATAATGTTAAATAGCCATGCTGGGAATGAACATCCTTTTCTACCATCTCCTGGTCTTAGGGAGAATGATTTCAGTCTTCTGCTGCTCAGTATGATGTTAGCTATTGGGTTTTTCATAGACTCTTGTCAAGTTGAAGATGTTTTTTTCTTTTCCTAGCTTATTGAGTCTTTTGTCAGGAAAGGGTTTTTGGATTTTGTCACATTCTTATTATGTGTCTGTTCAGACGATCATGTGCTTTTTGCCCTTTATTCTATTCATGCAGGTATAATATATTGGTTGATTTTCATAGAAGTCAATTTGTTTTTCCTGGAATAAATCCCATTTGGTCATGATATATAATCTTTCTACATGTAGTTAGATTCAGTTTGCTACTATTTTGTTGAAGGGTTTTACATCTATTTTCACAAGGGTTATTGGTCTGGAGTTTTCTTGTGATATCTTTATCTAGTTTGGTATCAGGGTACAGACCACCCTTTTCTCATTTAGGTTTTGGGGTAATAGTTTAAGCCTGGATTATAATTTGCCCACATTTGTTGTACCTGTGGAAAAAGGTTTTACCTTATAATATCTACTTTTTCTTCATCTTAGGGTCTAATGCTTGTCTATCTCTTTACTGAGTACTGAAACTTTTTTGCCCACACAAATAGGCATCTAATATGATAAAAAGAATGGATGAAACAGTTGCATACTGTTTTATCTATGGCCACAATGTTTTCCTATGATAACTCCTGTAATATTATTATTATTATTATTAGATGGAGTCTCGCTCTGTTGCCCAGGCTGGAGTGCAAAGGGGCAATCTTGGCTCACTGCGACCTCTGCCTCCCGGGTTCAAGTGATTCTCCTGCCTCAGCCTCCTGAGTAGCTGGGATTACAGGCACCTGCCACCACACCTGGCTAATTGTTGTATTTTTAGTAGAGATGGGGTTTCACCATGTTGGCCAGGATGGTCTCAAACTCCTGATGTCAGGCAATCCACCCTCCTCAGCCTCCCAAAGTACTGGGATTACAGCTATGAGCCACCACGTCTGACCCTATATTACTATTTTATAGGCAAAGGCTTTCTTCTGTCCCTAAACCTACCACTCTCTGGCTACTAAATTCCTACCATTACTCCATTAAGACCACTTTACATATTACCTTCTCCATGAACTTTCTTTTGAAAGATTTCTCTTTCTCCTCTCAACTCCAATAGCACTTTTCTTTGGCTTACTCAATAGTGCATGTATATATCTGTATTTGTTGTAGGTTTCTTCTGTTGGTTTTAGTGTCTTTTCTCCCCTGAGAGATTTATGACACTGGTTTATACTTTATGTAATCTTCAGTAGTACCTATTTTGCACCTTCTCCTGAGTTCACACTCAACATATGTTGTTTTAATAATTTTCTTAATTCACCCTTGATATAATGTCCAGAAATTCTATGAAATATATAAAATCATTATATTTATGCCACTGTCTTTAAGTTGATCAAGCATGAATAAGTAATTGTATATGTAATTTTAATATATGCCAAGCATTTCCATGTAGTAAACACCTTTATAAACAAATCCAAAACATATAAAATGAATTTTTTTTTTTTTTTTTTTTTTTTTTTTGAGACGGAGTCTCACTCTGTCCCCCTTGCTGGAGTGCAGTGGCCGGATCTCAGCTCACTGCAAGCTCTGCCTCCCGGGTTCACGCCATTCTCCTGCCTCAGCCTCCCGAGTAGCTGGGACTACAGGTGCCCGCCACCTCGCCCGGCTAGTTTTTTTGTATTTTTTAGTAGAGACGGGGTTTCACTGTGTTAGCCAGGATGGTCTCGATCTCCTGACCTCGTGATCCACCCGTCTCGGCCTCCCAAAGTGCTGGGATTACAGGCTTGAGCCACCGCGCCCGGCCTAAAATGAATTTTTAAAATTGAAACCATATTATATCATATGGCATAGCGAGAATTAGAACTTGGGAAAAATAAATTATGTAATAGGTGGTTACTTAGATAAAAATTGCAAGGTAAAATTATGCTCTTTTTCTCTGACAGCGACTTGCTTTTCCAAGAATGAATACAGTACCTGGTGTCAGAAGTATGACCGAGGTGACGATCAAGGAGCAGATGACCAGAATGACAAGCAGTGCAATCGCTATTCCTTTCCAATTCCTCTGTGGAGGGTTACTCCCCACCAGTTCCTAAAAAGAGCAACAACAAAGAAAATCCCAGTGAGTGAAATAAGGAAATAAAATACGCCAAATAGACATATTTCATTTAAATCAATAACCAAGACACAAAACAGTGAGAGAGGCATCTTCCCATCCTTGAAGCTACTATTAGTTCCCTTCTGTACCCTTCTGCCTTCAGTGCCCCAGAGCCTTGGGCTGTCATTTTCCTGTACGATGGCCACATGTTACCTCAAGAAAGAATCTGATATTATTATGTTTACAGCTTTTGTGCAAACCTAATGCTCCTCCTCCTGATAAACCAGATTCTATAGTAGAGGGTCATCTTGGAACTTTCCTTCTCCACAGCTAAACTCCATACCCTCATTGAATCCAATCCAACTAGGATTAAACTTGTCAGCTCCAAGTCCTCTGTCATCTTTCCCTTTTTTTACATCCATGTGATCAACTTCTATTTCAGAGTACCAAATTTAAATATTTATTTAGCACATGCTATGTGCCAATTTTCACCAACTTCTGCCCATCGCACTGCCTTCAGGCTTTTATTTTTTCTATATAAACTCCTCATTCAAGGTTTCAAGATTTTCCTGGTCTCTCTTCACTGGGCAACTCACCTATCCTTATTCTAGGTTTCAGTCCATTCCAGAGAACCTCTTGCAGTGCAGCAAGAGTGGCAGGTGAGAGAGGGACTCTGGAGACACTGCTGAGGGGTACTAAGGACTACATAAGTCTAGGAAATTCATCATGCATATTGGCTGCAGCGACCAAGTTTTCAGATCGCTGCAAATTAGAGGAATCATATAAATTTTAGTCGAAACTGTGATTCTTTGAGAGACAAAAAGGATCATATGAAAGCTTAATAATAATAAACATAATAGTTACATATAGATGATTATTATTAATTATACAGGAGTAAATAAGGACAGGTGGTCACACTGCAAAGGGACCACTTCTACCCATGCATAGTCTGGAGAATACCCTCTTATAGTGTACATAATTGCAACTCAGTAACCAAGCCAAAATGAGGTAGAATGAAGACGGTCTCAAAAAGTAGACAATGCAATGTATAAATATATTTTCATCAGAAATTAAAAGTTCATTAGAATGTATCAAATTGCTACAAACTAAAATAGACAATATGCAATATCATCCAAATATTTAATATTGGCTATATTGGCTATTAAATTAAGAAAAATTCACAGGGCCATTATAGGCTTAGTAGGAAAGAGTTCTACAGTAGTTTAGAATTTCTACAAGTCTTCATATTTGCCATCTATAACTTAATTCATCTATCAGAGAGTAGCTTTTTAGAACTTAAAAAGTAAGACTATCCAAGAGCAACAAAATAGCTACAGAAAGTTACACTGATTCAATCTCATTTCCTAGTAGGTAGTATTTTCTTTGGGAGAAAATCACTGGCCAGGGCCAAGGATAAGTAATTAGATCTTGCTAATTCAGCAGCTTTTCATTTCACCCGAATTCAGAAAGAAAATAAGCCCTTTTTGTCAAGTCTGTGACAGCAAGAATCTTTCAGTGGTACTATTCATACAAGCAACCTAATGCACACAATTTTTCACAGCCCAGTTGACATTCCTCAAACACGGTTAAGATGAAATTCCAAGGAAACCATTAAAAACAGAATGTCAAGATCAAATCTGATTCATGAACCAGAATGATAAAATTAATGTTGTCTTCATTAACTCAAATAATTGATATCTTTTGAGTATTGTTTCTATTTCATTTTTAATTTTTTTTAATTTTTTCCAGCCCAGGCTGGAGTGCAGTGGTGTGATTGTTGCTCACTGCACCCTCGACCTCCTGGGCTCACATGATCTTTCTGCCTCAGCCTCCCAAGCAGCTGGGACTACAGGGGTGTGCCACCAAGGCTGGCTAATTTTTATTTATTTTATTTTTTGTAGAGGTAGGGTCTCACTATGTTGCCTAGGCTGGTCAAACTCCTGGGCTCAAGCAATCCTCTGGCCTCAGCCTCCCAAAGAGCTGGGATTACAGGCATGAGCCACGGAGCCTGACCTGAATATTGTTTCTCATAAGAGTAATCTAGACTTCTAAATTCTGTTTTAAACACATTTATTATATAATAGATGCATTGGTCAAAGTCCATATGCAAATAAAACAAAACAAAACAAAAAAAACCCTAGGACTTTGGATTTGCATCAATTACTTGACCAGCCAATAATGTGACTGATTTACTTACAAAAGTTCATTTGAACGAATGTTGCAGTGATAAGCCCCTCCCTGGCCCAAACACACTCATGATCTGACAGTGGCTGGATATTGTTACAGATCATGACATAGAGAATATTATTTAGAAAGATGTTTTAGAAATAAGTTAAGATATTTGTAAGACATATGACATGAAGTAAAGTTGAAGGAAGTGTTTAGCCTCAAATACCAAATACTTAAAAGTCCTCACTCATTTGAAGGCATATCACGTGGACTGGGGAGCATGTTCCAGAAAGCAGAGTTAGAACCAAAAGGAAATTTAACACAGGCTAATTGTGCAACAGAGAAACTTCAGGATGTCTAACCATTGGTACTGCCTGATAATAGAAAGGGCTGCTTCACCCAGAAATGAGCAGGGTAAATGGCCATCTCATGGAAATCCTGGGGGACTGATCCTTCAGGGAGGAAGTCAGAAATAGATGACATTAATAAGGAGGAACACAGCAGAAGTTCTATGGACATATATAAGATAGAGATGAAAGATACAAAACTGTGGAAGCTGGTACTGTGGGTAAAGAAATGAATGAGAGTAAGGACACTTCATGAAAGGGGGGCAAAGACTATGCTTCTTCCATGCCCACTGGACTAAGATAAGATTTTGCACAGAAAACCAATCTGGTATATATTATTGAATGAAAAAATGCACAGTAAGATGACCCAGAGGCATCGATGCATATCCTACTCGACTGGAGTGATTCTGGATCATATGCATCGTTTCTTAGGTACAGATGCATCACATTGTCTTTCAGGCAGCATTGTTGCATTAAAACCCACAGGGATAAAGATATTCTTTACTAAATTCCATTTTTATTTGCCAAATTTTGTTTTTCAGGGTGCAGGAAATTTTCTTTTACTACACAAGCAACATTGTAACAACAATAACGGGAAACAAATTAAAGAGGAAAAAAGTGATGAAAAACCTTGTTAATCACCTTGCTCTCTCCAAAAAATTGACTTTTTAAGGCTTTTTCATATTCATTTCTATTTCTGGGCTATATACACATTTAACTTTTAAATAGGTACAACCACAGCATAGATATAATTTTCAAGTTAGAATGCAGGCTAATACGTGTTTCTTTGAATATCTAATTTGGCTTCCCAAATTCAGACTTCCTCCCAACTTGCAAGTGTTGAACTGTTAAAACTTTGAGTCGGATTGACTCTGCTTTCTGTGAAAGTCAAGAGAACTCCCTAGGTTATCCCCTGGCACACTGAGTTTCAGTAGGTGCGTTTCTCAGTAGAATTAGATATGTTTTGACTAGCATGGTGAAAGCGAGGCTATAACATATTCCCTATTCTGTGACAACCTGCATACTTTGGAGGTCCATTAAAATGGAAAAGTATGTTCACAATTAACCATTTTCTTTAAGAAGAATAAGTCTTCTAACCAGTGATCCATATCCATCCATCCATCCATCCATCCACCCACACCATCCATCCATCCACATTCATCCACCTATCCATCCATCCATTAACCCATTCATCCACTCATCCATCCATCCATCCATCCATCTATTCATCCACATCCATTCACCCATCCATCCATTCATCCATCCATCCATCCACTCATCCATCCGTCCATCTATTCATCCACATCCATTCACCCATCCATCCATTCATCCATCCATCCATCCACATTCATCCACCTATCCATCCATCCATTCACCCATCCATCCACTCATCCATCCATCCGTCCATCTATTCATCCACATCCATTCACCCATCCATCCATTCATCCATCCATCCATCCATCCACATTCATCCACCTATCCATCCATCCATTCACCCATCCATCCACTCATCCATCCGTCTGTCCATCTATTCATCCACATCCATTCACCCATCCATCCATTCATCCATCCATCCATCCATCCATATTCATTCACCTATCCATCCATCCATTTACCCATCCATCCACTCATCCATCCATCCATCCATCTATTCATCCACATTCATTCACCCATTCATCCATTCATCCATCCATCCATCTATTCATCAACCTATCCATACATCCATTCACCCGTGCATCCACTCATCCATCCATCCGTCCATCTATTCATCCACATCCATCCATTCATCCATCCATCTATTCATCCACATCCATCCATCCATTCCCCCATTCATCTATTCATCCATATGCATTCACCCATTCACTCATCATCCATCCATCCATATATCTGTCAATCCACATCCATCCATCCAACACATGTTTATCTTACTATGCCAGGTTAGGTTTTGAGAACCTTGAATACAGGAATGAATAAAACAGACACTGACACTCTTATCAACTGAAATTGAATGGCTTTCATTTTTTTCATATTTTTTTTTTCTTGTAATCAAGTGCAGGAATGGGGGAAGGGTCAAACAATAAGCAGATCAGCTCATGAAGAGAAGAGAAAAGCAGGACAATGGCGCTCTGAGAGCTGTTTGCATCAGAGAGATCTCTAGCAAAGTGACATCAGAATAGAACTGAAGGAATCTGCAGAGCTGACATCTGAGAAGACAATCCAGATAGAGGGAGTGGCAGGTGCCTGGCCTGTGAGACAGCATAGGCTTCAGTGGAGACAGCAAGGAGGCAGTGGCCAGGGTGGGAGAGAAACGTGACTGTTCTGAGAGAGGAGTTTGGGGGCAGTAAGGGGCCAGGGAGTGCAGAGCCTGAGGGCCAGGTGCAGGCTTCCACTTACCTCTGAGTGAAAGGGGTGTGAGCACAGCGGTGTGTAAATGAGGCTCCCACTAAGGAAGGTGGCCAGGGTTGCTGCTTAGAAGAA